ACCACCCTCAGCATTGCCCATGGGACCAGAGGTGACCCTGACATTCTGCTCACTTAGTGTCAGCAGCGCCCCCCAGGAGACCCACCCAGCTGGGTGTTGGCACACGGGGGGGGGGGGAACATGTGCACCATGGCACCATCGTCACATCTGCAGCCGGCCTTGGCGTCAAACTCACAAGAGTGACTGGTTTTGAAAAAAGAACCCGGGAAAGCACCGTGGCAGGTGGTTCTGGCCCGGAACTCGGAACTCAGAGGAGAGGCAGGAGAGGAAGCTGAAACTCTTCTCTTCGTTCTTGGGCTGGGATGAGCTGAGGGTCCACAGCGCTCACTGGGGCACACCTGCCCTGAGGACAGGCTGCAGCTCTGGGATGGGGGGGCGGAGGCCAGGGGAAGGCAGGTGGGGCCGACCCAGCCCACGCTGGAGCTGGGACCCCGCTGCCTGCGCCCCCCGGGCTGTGGAGGGGAGATTACACTGTCCGTTGGGGGTGGCTTTGGGATGACGTCAATTCTAGCATGTTGCATCAGGTGCCTGCAGAGGGCCTGGGGCTGCGGGAGCGAGGGGAGGGGAGCGCCAACCGCCCAGCGGGGTCCGCCCCTCCAGGGGTCTACCCAGCCCGGCCAGCCGGCGCTGGGCCTCCAGGGCTGCGGAGTCCCTGCCCGCTTTTCTCTCCCCCACCCCAGCATGTACATCTCCCTCCCGTGACCTCAGCCAGGCAGTGTTGCAGCGGGGGCCAGATGAGCCCCTCTCTCTCTGCCTGTGCCCGCGCCCGCCTGTGTCCCGCGCGGTCATCTGTTAGTGACTTGTTTCTGTGCCGGGGACCAGGAAAGCGTGGGCATTCAGTGGCCACGTTCTAGAGAATCCAAGAGCAGAGCCCCGAGAGACCCTGGCGGTCACGCACCAGCGCGGGGAGGCGCCTGTCCCACCTACCAGCGTCCCCTGCGTGGCCGGCGCTGCCCGTGCTGGTTCAGAGGATTCTGAGGCCTCGCTGCGCTCCGAGAAGGAGCTGAGACGCGCTCCCTGAGTCGCCGCGTGGAGATTCGGAAGCTGGACCGTTGTCACGGCGATGTACCCGCCCGCCCGACCTGTGTCACCTCAGACAGTGGTTTAGTGACACTGCAGACACCTGCCCCTGTCAGTGCAGCGTCCGTCAGCCCCGCTGCCCGAAGCCGCTGCTGCTGGGGAGGCTGGGCGTGGCCTCTGGCAGGACTCCAGGAAGCAGGGGGAGAGGCGTCTGTGACTCAGCTCGTAGCTGGCCTTCTCCAGGGAGTTGGGGGGTTGCGGGCATATGCCAGGGGTGTCCGATGAGTTTGACCCTCCCCCAGCTCATTGCTTGCTGGCGACGCTACAGAAGTCCACCTCGCTGCATTTCTCACCCTGAAAACTCAGCCACAGGTGCTTGTCGATTGACAGACCCGCTGCTGCCCTCTGGGCCGGGGAGCCCTCGCTCACCTCCCCCTGCATCGCACCTCCCCCTGCATCGCACCTCCCCCTGCATCGCTCCCCTCCCTGCTCAGACTTCTGACGTGTTCTTCTTGCAAGTCGCTGTCCTGCCTGCAGTCCCTGCACTGATCTGCTGGTTGGGTTTGCCCAGGTGTTAGTGTGTTCCCAGCGTCACGAGTCACAGAGGTCGGGTCGCGGATACAGCCCCGTGCCCCGTGACAGATGGACACACCGATGAACACCCTGGGGAAGGTACAGTCAGTGGAATTCTGCTGTTTGTAAAAAGTGAAAATACCCTTTTGGGACAAATTGATGGATGATGAGGTGATGTCGTGAAGTGAAATAAACCCCAAAGCGAAAGGCAGTTATTTGCCTGATGGTGTCCACTCATCTGTGGGGACAGACTGGCAGAACAACAAGGCTCATCCTCAGGCTCTGTGTGGAATAGGCTGGTTACCGCAGGTGGGGGCGGCCAGGTGCCCGTGTGCCCCAAGGCCCATCATTCTGCCAGCTGGTGGCATATCAGTAACGCTCAAGAAGAATCAGTTGCGGGTGTCCTTGGGCTGAGCGCAGAGGACCCTGTTCTTAGCGTGAAGCAGAGAGGATGCTGGCGGGGGTGGGGACATCACCGGTGGGGTGCTTGTTGCCAGTGAACTGTGTCACGGTGCCAGCCTCGCTGCCAGGGCCCTGTGGGGAGGCTTCTGCTATGTTTTGAAACTATTCAAAACCCAGTCTGGTCGGTTTATGAAAATAGCTGTTCTTACGACTGACATCCCAAGAGAAATTGGGCTTCGGCTCCCATGAGAAATGGGAGGAACTTCTGCTCTTCTCTCTTTTTCGAGGTTCCGTTAGGATCTTGAAAAAAACCACAAGCTGCATCTGTTATGCCAAATGCTTTTACCCACTGAGCCTGGTGAGAATGTGCAGGGAACGGGTTCAGCTGGCTGAGGGGGGCAAATTTCCTAGGACCCCCCTCATCCTCTGGCAGTTTGTCTTTTTTTCATGAAAAGACTGGAGGCCTTTATTCTTAAGCCTACCCCATCGCCCCCAGCGCCTCCGTCCCGATTCCAGACCAGCCTGACGATGCTCTGTTCTAGTGTCCCTTGCCGACAGACGGGTGCTTGCAGTGACCGGCGCATGAGCGAGTGACCCACCTGCCGTCCTGGTGACCCAGGTGCCCAGGGAGCCGGCCCTTTGCTCTTCCCCTGACCAGCCCGGGGCTTTTGTGGGAGCGGGCTTCTGGTCGCTTTCTTGCCTTCAGATCCCGGCGGATGCTTCGCCAAGACCAGCTCTTGTTCCACTTGTAACTTGCTCTTTTCTTCTGCAGTGGGCTGGGAAAATGGATTGTGAGAGTGCTTAGATGATTCCCTGGTATGACATAATTAGGTCCTCGGGGGCCTCTCTGAACAGAGCACACAAAGATTTTCTTGGTTCATCGACTGTGAGGGTTGATCTGAGGCCCTGAAGTGCTGTCTTTGTGTCAGCTCCATGCTGGTTACGCTCTGGTGCGTGACCTGTGATCTGGACAGGTGAATCGGATGGGGGTGGTGCTGGGGGGCGGGGGGACAGGTGAGCGGCTGTGTGGGTTGTAGCCAGGAGAGACTTGGGCCAGGCTGCGGAGGCTCTGCTGTTCTCACCAAACCCAAAATCAAGTGACTGATTAACAGCGGCTCGGCTCCAATAGAGCAGTGACCCACGCGGTGACGTAGTTATGTCTGTGGATTAGGCCTCTGGGGCGCAGTAGGAGGCCTCCGTGGAGAGGTGCCCAGACACCAATGATGACCTCCCCTTGCTGGCAAAGAGAAGGGTTCCCCACGTAGTTGGACCTGTGGGCTCAAGTGCTCCCCAAGGACCTTGTCCAACCGCCCATGCGTCCTGCCCACTCCACACTGGGGATGCCCCAGTCTGACATTCAGCCATTATGTCGCTGCTTCTCATCTCCAGTCAGGCCATTTCGTAGCTGTTTCTCAGGGGAGAGGCGCTAGGTGAGGGGCCAGTGGCCCCCTGCATGCTCCATACCCAGGGCCGGGGTTGAACCACAGCACCAGTTCTCAGACCCATTGGGTATCACCAGGGTAGCTGGTGAGACTTTGGGCCATTTTAGCACAGTGAGAGTGGGGGTTGGTGAGTTTTCTGAGAAAGCAGAGCTGTTTCTAGCATGTCCCTCCTCCCCCAAGCAGAACACGAAGTGAGAAGGGAGATAGCCATGTCTGTTTCATGGAGATGGAAACTGCGGCTGGGAGGCGGAGTGCGGGTCGGCTCACACCCTCTGGTGTGCTTGCAGGCAGGAGCTGCCTTCTCAGACCCGCACCTTGCCTCCCAGCCGAGCAGGGAGTGTGCAGCGGGCAGGGAGGGGCCCAGTCAGGCTCCCGGCTCTGTTTAAGTGATACACAGGTGAAGATGCTCCGGCTTCAGGCGTAACAGACACGGAAATGGTGCAGTCTGATTGTTGTGGCCGAGCTGACTGGCAAAGCTAAGAACAGGTGGGAGGACAGCATTGGTCTGGGTGTGAGCATCGGGGCCAGGACAGGTTGGTGAGAGAGCCCAGGGCTCATAGCTTCCTGCCGGCCACTTGGCAAGGGGGCGGCTCGGGAGAGGCGTTCATCTTAGAGAGGAGAATAAGGATGTGCATAAAGAATCCACCAAGAGGGCCCTCCCTGGTGGCGCAGCGGGTTAAAGCACAACACTGAGAAGCTGAGGCCACTTCCTCATGAATTTGATTCCCGCCTGCCCCGGAGGTGACCACATGGCACAGCAGGCCTCTCCTGACCCGCCCGCTGCTCCCCTCAGCAGTGTACTTCGTCGATCTGCCTGTTCTGCTCCCCACTGTCTCTGGTGAAGCCTCTCGCCACCCCTGAGCCTCTGGCCTGTACCCCAGTTCTGTATGCACAAGTAAATAAATCTTAAAAAAAAAAAAAAAAAACCACCAAGAAGGTGTTTTCTTGTGGCACCATTTAGATTAAAGTATGAACAAGTGAACTTCTCCAAGGGTACAGGTTAAATTACGATATACAGTGTAAGTACGGACCCATGGGAAATGACGTGTATGTTGTCTGGGATTTGCTTTGGAATAATCCAGCCAAACGGATGGGGTGGGATGGGGGGGGCGACAGGTGGAGGGAGGTGGACCCAGCATTGACAGTGTGGGGCTGAGTGGGGAGTTAGGGGCTTGGTGCACCACGTCATTGTGAGGTCGCAGATGCTGCAGAGCAGAATGAGAAGGCAGCCTTTTTTTGAGCCCTCAGTGATACTGATCCGCTCCCCTATTTTGCTGATCACATGCACTAAAGAGAGACGGTTCATTGACTATCACCGAGGTATTTCTGTGCGTTGGCCTGGAACACGGCCACAAATAGTTTGGTACGAAATTGTCACTTGGTTTAAAAAATAAATATGCCTGTACGTAGACAGCAGATGGAGTGTATTCACTAAGTGGTACTGCTGAGTACAGTGTGCTTATTTTTTTCAGATGCTCTGATTTTTTCCCTTCCCAACAGCAGAGATGAATCACGGTGAGGCTGTGCCAACAGTTGAGCTTAGTATTTTCTCTCTCGATTTAGGGAAGAGCATGGAGGAGATTAAGAAGGTTCTGCTGCTGGTGCTGGGCTGTGCTGTGCAGGTAGAGGCGGGGGGCACGTTGGAGCTGGGGGGATAGAATGGCCCCTTAGGTAAGCATGGAGCTGCCTGCAGCAGCAGCCCCCCCCCAACCCCCCCCCCGTGGCAGAAGGACGCTGGGCTCCTGGGAGACACGTGACCTCCATCCAGGGTGCCTTTCTGTACCCGGACACCTTGGTGCCAGGCCTGGAGGGGGGTCTCCCTGGCCAGAGTGCCATTACAAGTTGTTCCCAGTAGAGGGGCGGCATCTAGGGCAAAGGCCTCTGAAGTGCTACCCTGGGTCAAGTTTGACCAGTCACCTATTTTTTATTTTTGTAAATAAAGTCTCTTTGGAACATGACTCCCCTCCCCCCACCCATTACCTGTGACTTCTGTGGCGCTGAGCCCAAATGCCCCTCCCCCCCAAGATATTTAACTGTCTGGCCCTTCAGCCCTCCATTGATGGAGTTTGTCCCATGTCCCTCCCTGCCCCCCAGGAAGCTTGGCCTAAACCAGGTGTTCTCCATCCTCACCTGTTAAGAATCACCTGGAGAGCTCAGTTAAATGCACCTTTCTCTCTCGTTGCCTGTGGTTGCTATAGTCTGGCAACTTCTGGAGAAACCTCAGCATAGGACTGGTGGGGGCTGGCTTTATTTCCTTGGTTATTAAGGAGAAAAACGTGGGTGGGGCACGGTGGTGCCCCCACCTAGCTGTGGTGGCCCAGGGGTGTCCTCACCTGCAAACCTCTTCCATTAACACTGTAACCCCCCCGCAGTGTGAGAGGAAAGAGGAGTTTATTGAGAGAATCAAGCAGCTGGACATCGAGACCCAAGCTGGGATCGTAGCACACATCCAGGAGGTAGGTGGGGGGCTCAGCTGTGGGCCAGGCGGTGGGCGTTCTCCACTCGGAAGTTTGAAGAATACGTCACCTGCCACCAGCTTGCTAATTTTTGGTTGCAGACGAATTGATCCTATTTGGAAAGGTAGCCCTCAGCCAGCTAAAATAAAATTGTGGGGTGGGGGGTAAAAATAAAAATTAAAAAAAAAAACAACAAAACCCTCAATCAAGTCTTTTGCTGCCTCTTCTTGCCTAATATGGACTCAGGCTATTTTTAAGAGCTGCCAAATGGTTTAGGCTCAGATTTGATTTACAGGCCTGAAAATGTATTCTGGCAAATGTCACTGAGTCTTTGTGGCTGATCTTTATATGGAGTCTGCCTGTCAGGGACAGGGCAGAGCAAGCTGCCACCATGCCGGAAGGCAGCGCCCCAGGGGGGCCTTCTCCGGAGCCCCGCCCCTGCAGGTGCACTGAGGCAGCCCCCCTGCGCCTTGACCTTGGCAGGGAGGGAGGAGGGGCTGGTGTCAGCGAGGGGGTGGTCTTCATGGAAACTGAGCCTGTGGGGCATCCCCTACCTGCACCCTCCCTCCAACCTGATTGGACAGGTGAGATGAAGGCTGATAAGACACACAGGAGAGGAGGCTGAGCACTGGGACAGGCTGCTGCTGGGCTTCACCATGGGGTGGGCGGGGAGCGCTGAACCTGGTTGGAAGCAGTAGCTGGAGCTGCATCAGGGAGAGGCAGGCGCGGTAACCTCTCAGGAAGCAGGTCAGGCTGGCGGCGTGTTCGGCCGGGACCTCTGCTGTCCGTCAGCTGCCCGCCTGTGTTGTGTTGTGTTTCAAGCCACGCCACCTGCGGCGGGTCCCAGGGGCCGGCGGGTCCCAGGGGCCAGCGGGTCTGTGCTCCCGCCTCTCCCCTGCTCGGCCAGCTGGCGCTTGATTGCCCGGCGTCCGGGCGGAGGGCTGGCACACTCGGCGATGGGCTGTGAGGGCTGGGCTCTAGATTAGGGGCTGCTGAAACACCCAGGTGCCCGGGACCCCCAGGGGGCCCACGGAGCCTCAGGGGAGGAACCTTTCACTGGGAGTTGCATCTGGAAGCACCAGGTACTCTTACGTGGCCCGTGGGAGTGAGAGGCAGGCTTACTTGAAAAATGCTTGAGATTACAGAACGTTTCCCAAAAAACTAGCAAGGCTGTTTTATGTGCCTAACGTTTTGACATAAGATTTTAACGTTTGCCACAGTCGCTTTAGTTTTTAGTGTAAACCCCTTGCCTTTCCACCTACCCTGTCCTTTTCATGTTTTTTATTAAAGAGTTATTTATGCACACACAAACTGGGGTACAGGCCAGAGGTGCAGGAGGTGGGAGGATTCCCCAGAGACAGAGTGGGGTGCAGAACAGGCAGGTGGACCGAAATACACTGTTGAGGGGGGCAGCTCCCGGCCAGGGATCGAACTGAGGCTGCCGCGGCTGGCAATAGCTTGATAGCATTGAGACTTTAACCCCTGCGCCACCTGGGAAGCTCCATTGTTTCATGTTTTAAGTGGATGTCCCCTCAGTTAAAATATCAGAGGACAGGCCCTCCCTGGTGGCGCAGCGGGTTAAAGCACAGCACTGAGAAGCTAAAGCCACTTCTGCATGAGTTCGATCCCCGCCTGCCCCGGAGGTGACCACATGGCGCGGCAGACCTCTCCTGGCCCCCCCCGCTGCTCCCCTCAGCAGTGTACTTCGTCCATCTGCCTGTTCTTCTCCCCGCTCTGTCTCTGGTGAATCCTATCACCCTCCGCATCTCTGGCCTGTACCCCAGTTCTGTATGAGGAAATAAATCTTAAAAAAAAAATTGCTGGAACGAAGAGTTTACCCTTGGGAGCCCCCAGGAACCTTATCCAAGAGGAGTTAACTGTCAGTGGGGTGAGGCAGCTTGTGGGGGGGCCCTGCCAGCTTCCCAGGTGCCCTGTGTGCCCCCAGGTGACCCACAACCAGGAGAACGTGTTTGACCTGCAGTGGCTGGAGCTCCCGGACGTGGCCCCAGAGGAGCTGGAGGCCCTGTCGAGGAACATGGTGTTTCACCTCCGGAGGCTCATAGATGAGCGGGACGAGTGCACAGAGGTGCGTCTGCGGGCGCCCGGCAGCCCCCGGGGGCCGCGAGGGCGGCCTGGGCAGCGGGCCTGGCCACACAGGCGTCCCTCCCATCCCCTGCAGCCGCCCTGCCCCCTGCCCCTCCCTGACTGGCTGCAGGCTGGCCGTGAGCCGTTTCCCTGGAGCGGCGAGCCCTGAGCCAGAGAGACACCCGCTCTGACGCACGCTCTCCTTGGCCTTACCAGAATGTCCTCTCTCACTTTAAAACTTGGACCCCTTTCCCTGCTTGACCCAGCCCCTCCGTCAGTAACGTGCCTCCGTTTGCTCTCATCGTCCATCCCTTCTTCCCCCACGTTGGGGCGCCAGTGCTGGGCTGGGCACAGGAGCCCCTGGCGAGGCCTGTCCCCTCTCTCCGTCCCTCTAGCTGATCGTGGACCTCACTCAGGAGCGGGACTACCTGCAGGCGCAGCACCCGCCCAGCCCCCTCAAGTCCTCCAGCGCCGAGTCCACCCCCAGCCCGACCAGCAGCCTGTCCAGCGAGGACAAGCAGCACCTGGCTGTGGAGCTGGCGGACACCAAGGCCAGGCTGCGCCGTGTCAGGCAGGAGCTGTGAGTCTGCAGGGACTCGGGACCCCTCCGCCCCCCGCGCCCCCCACCGCTGCTGTTTCTGCCTTTTCTAGTGTGGTTCTCTCCACTGCAGCCATAGGGGAGTCCAGGGTCCGCGGGCGCCATGCCGAGCTCAGTGCCCGGCCGTGACGGGCCACCTCTCCCTCGCCCGTCGCGAGGACCGCCTGCTCTCCGGGCTCCCGCCCGCTGCAGCCCACGCGAGTGGTTGTCCACTCATCTCAGTGTGGGGCTCGAGTGACCACACACCGAGGGTCTTCCTGGTGGCGGGAGGCTGTGGCCCAGCTGTATGGTGACCCTGCTCGCTGCTTCCTGCGGCTGGCAGATGTCACTCTGCTGTCACTGGAGCTGCCTGCCTCCGCCGCCCCACAGCGGCCTGCTGACTGAACTGGGGGGCTGTCTCCTGACCCTCCACACTCTTCAGGGCAACGCCGTGTCTGCTTGATGCAGTCTGGGGGCAGACGCTAGAGGTGGAGCTGGAGCACAGTTTTCAGTCCGAAACATTTCTCAAGCCTTCCAGGCAGTGTTTGTCTGTTGCCCCAGAGCCCTGCTCTCCTCCCTGCTGTGACCTCAGCGTGGCGGGACCCCCAGACACTGAACTCTGGAATTCTCTAACTGTGCTTCCTACGAATCATCCCCCAGGGAGGAGAAAACAGAGCAACTGGTGGACACCAGGCATGAGGTGGACCAGGTGGTGCTGGAGCTGCAGAAAGTCAAGCAGGAGGTGAGCTGGGAGGCGTGCCTGCGTGTGGGTGCTTGTGTGTTGGGGGGCATGGCTGGAGACACCCCAGTGACTGGCTCAGAGGCTGGGATCGCAGCCTGGGCACTTTCCAGCAAAGGCCTCTGTCTCCTCAAAGCCAAGCTGGCAGTGAGCCGGTAGTCCCGGGCTGCCGAGGATGACTGTGCCCGGGGGACACTGGGGACCCCAGGGAGGCCTGGGCTCGTGCCACCCGGCCCCCAGGCATGGGGTTTCGGGGGCGTGAGGGGAAGCCCTCAGCCTGGTCCCCTGCCTTCCCCACCTGCCAGAACATCCAGCTGGGGGCGGACGCCAGGTCGGCTCGCGCCTACCGAGACGAGCTGGACTCCCTACGGGAGAAGGCGAACCGCGTGGAGCGGCTGGAGATGGAGCTGGTGCGCTGCCGGGAGAAGCTGCACGACGTGGACTTCTACAAGGCCCGCATGGAGGTGAGCGGGGGCCCGGGCGCCCGCTCGAGGGCCTCTGCGGGGCCCGTCCCACGTTGGCCTGCTCCCGCTCACGGGTAGACGCAGGGAGGCGTCATGACCCACCTGGGGGCACGGACGCCCTGACTACTCACCCTGACAGCCTGGATCAGGGGTTCTCCTGGGATTGTGGCTCTTTCGCCCCAGTTGCCAGCCCTTGGGGGCTGGGGGTGGCTGCGGCGCCCGGGGTGAACGCAGGGCATGCGCGTGCTGAGCTGGCGTGTTTGGTGGGGAAGAAAAGCATCACCAGCTCTCTCCTTGCTGCTTGGAGGCTCTCGAGGGGGGCTGAATACAGATCTGGGGAGCACGCGTCGGCCGCCCTGCCCAGGGCCTCGTGCTGCGGGCAGCTGAGTGGGGTGTGAGCAAAGACTCCCCATATCCTGGTGCCTTGAGGGGCCCCGGACTGGGGAGGCAGTGGTCTGGCCCCGTGTGTCCGCCAGGAGCGGCTGTGATGTGTGGTTCCTCCTTCCCCTGGGTGCTGTGGGGAGCAGCCTGGTCTGGGTGGGGGTGTGTGGGGGTGCCGCTCAGCTCAGCGTTGTCCTGGAGATGGTCCCCAGCCCGCCGCACAGGGAAGGCTTAAGGCCCCGGCCCTGTCGGGTTCTTGGACGTGGGCACCGGCTGGGAAGATCCGTGTGGCCCAGACTGCAGCCTCAGGGCCTCCTGCACGTGGGGACCTTTGCTGCTCCCACCTGTCACCCTTCACCCTGTCCTGTACGGGGGGCAGGGTTTCAGCTCCGTCGGTTCTTGGCCTTGTCTAAGCGTGGGGGAGGCAGACAAGGCGACAGACCCAGGAGGGAGGCACACACATGTTCCCTGCACACAGGATGCTTCCCGCCTCTTAGAGGGGTTCGCCCGGGGTCCCCACTTTCCATGTGCTCACATTTCATGCCTCTGTACAGTGGCTGCAGTATTGCCCAGACTCATTAGTAATTTGCAGTTTGGCACTAATTAGCCTCCCGGGAAAGGGTGCGTGTCTGCCCAAGGTGCTCACTCGGGGGCAGGCAGCAATGACCCCTTTGGGTGCGCCCGGACTGCTGGCTGATGCACTGGGCCCACCCACACATCCAGGCCCAGGCAGGCTGCGGGGCACTCTCCCTGGCGGCCGGGGTGTCGGGGCTCACTGGATCGCAGCGGGGGAACCGGAGCATCTGTGCCCCCACCCTTAGGCGGGAACAGCCACACCGGCCTGCAGGTCTGCGGCCTCTGCTCCCAGCTGTCGGGGCGCAGGCCTGCGAGGGGGCGCCGTTGTGCTTCAGGAGGACTCTGGCTGCCCCCTGGCCGGCAGGTGTGTCGAGAGCCAGGGACCTCACCCCTCCGTCGGCCTGGCTGCCGGCCCCCGCGGCAGGGAAGGCGCCACCGGCGGCCTAGAGCACCTCGAGTGTGCTGTCCCCGTCCCCCCGCCCCCCGGTCCTGCCGGCAGAGACCAAGGCCTGGAGATGCAACGGCTCAGCGCAGCCTGGCCTTGGTGTCCGCCAGCTCCACAGCCAGGTGCTGCTTGTCCTCGCTGGACGGGCTGGGGGTGGACTGGGCGCTGGAGGACTTGAGGGACCGGCAGGTCCTGCACCTGCAGGTAGTCCCGTTCCTGAGTGAGGCCCCCCAGCCCCCGCCCAGCCATCTGACCCTAGGCAGCTGCTTCCCGTCCCCTGGGGTCCCCGCAGCTCTCCCCACCAGACGAGCTGTGTGTGCGGGTGGAGACTGCACCTGTCGTCTCCGGTAGGGCTGGTCCTCAGGGTAAATTTATGTCACCCTAACTTCCTAGGGTTCCCCTACCTTTGAAGCCCTTCCCTTTCTCCTTGCAGCCTGCTCAGGCTCCCCCAAAACTTCTCGGGGAACCTGTTTGAAAGAAAACACCAGCCGTGGTCTCCGCCCTCCCTAGCCAGGCCAACCCTGCCCCCTCCACTTACCTACATGTCGCTTGAGCATCGGTCGCGACTAAGTGCCAAGGCCCACTTGGCACTTCCCAGCCTCTCCTACCGCACCTCCCTCAGCCCTCGTCACTGGGGTCCTGTGTCCCAGCCTCCCCTCGCTCTGTGTTCCCTCGGTGGGGGGGCGCCCCCCCAGTCTGCCTCCCTGCCCCTCCCCCACCCCCGCCTTGCTAACAGACAAGCTCCAGACCTTCCTCTTTAGCCTGGTTTCCCCTCCGCTCCCGGCTCAACCCGCCTGGGCAGTCTGAGTGTACAGGTCAGTGAACACATCGCCGCCTCCACCCCACCCCGACCTCCCTTCCTGTCTGGCCGGGCGCCAGCCTCCACCCACCCAGGTCCTTCAGTCAGAGCTGCATGGGCCTGGTTCTCCTCTCCCCACCCCCACCCCCCACGTGCTGTCCATCTCCCAGACCCCTGCCCACCTTGGCCAGAGGTGGGCACCTCGCAGCGAGTGCCCCTCCCCGCCCTTCCTTGCCCCTCTTGCCCCAGCGCCTGCTCGGGGTGTTGATGTTACCCAGAGTCCCTCCGACACCTCCGCGCCGGCCCTCTGCCTGCGTCCCTCCATGGTGCTGCCGCCTGAGCAGCCTCTCGTGGCCTCCAGGCCTCTCTTTATTGCTCTTGAAGTGACACCTGCCCCTTCTCCCCCGTGGAGCTCCGCTCCGGCCACCCCCTGCCCGGCCCCCTCCCCGGGGCCCAGTGCCCTCTGCTGCCCCGGGCTCACTCATCCAGGTTCCACTCGGGCTGAGCAGTGGGTGCAGCAGGCCCTGGGCCGCTTCTCGGTTCCTTTAGCCTCGTCCGGGGTGATATGCTGTATTCGCTCGCCTGGGTTTCCACCTCCCACCCCCTCCTGTGGGAGCAGGGCCTGTGCCTCACCAAGGCCGCTGGGTCCAGGGTGTCCAGGCGGGCCGTCCCCGGGGTGGAATCAGGCCCGCGCGGCCGTCTGAGAGCCCAGGTCTGCTGGAGCAACCACGCCGGTCAGTGGGCCAGGCTCTTGCCACACCTGCAGAGTGGAGGCTTCCTACCCGACAGGCCCTCGCGCTGACCCAGAGGGCTTTTCACTGAGCCGTAGTAACACGTGAGCTGTGAGGGTGGAGCGTGTCCACAGGTCCTCACGTGGTGGCCTCTGTGGCCGAGGGCCAGCTTCCCTCTCACTTCTTTCTGATGAGAAAGCTGAGGGTTAGTTGGTACTTGGCCAGCATTGCAGCTGGGGAGGAGGTGGGCCTGGCCTCCAGGACCTCAGCTCTGATGAGGAAGGAGGAGAAGGCAAAAGGAGGTGGGGGGTGCAGGGGTGAAGAAGCGGGTGCTCGTGGAGGGGACGCTGGTGGCCTTTGGCTGCATTGTGGTGGGGTGCTCGGTTAGCAGATGGTGAGCGGGGTGCCTTAGGATTCAGGCAGGATGAACATACAGGGACTCAAACAGGGACTCAAGGTCCACCTGGGACTTCCAGCTTCTCAGTAGCTTCTAGCGAGTTTAGATCAAAGTCAGAACACCAAGAAGTTAGAGGCGGACACACCTGATGTGTGGCTGACGTTCAGGCCGTCAGCTCCTGGAGTCGGGGCCTCCGCGAAGGCCAACAGACCGCAGGGTCGGGGTGCCCCCTGCGGAGTGTGGAGGGGGTTGCCTGCGGGTCCGTGGCCAGGCGCCTTCCTGCGGCCCTGCTGGGCAGGACACCGTAGGCCTCCTCGGGCGCTGGGTGCCCAGCTCAGGGCAGGAACCACCATCTCCCCCCTTCTCCCCCGGTCCCTGGGCCAGGGCGCACCCCTGGAAGCGTGGCTGCTCGGTGGTGCTGGACTGCACAGTGTCCTCGAGGTGTGAAGTGGGTGATCGGCAGCCGTCTGTGCCTCGGGCACTGTGCGCACCCCGCCGCGCCGTGGGCTTTGGCTCTTCAGATGCCCACACAGCCCCCGCGCCTGTCCGGTGTGGGAGCAGGGGCCCGGCGGAGGGGCGTGTCTCGCGCCAGGCCCACACCCTGCGCCCAGGCGCTGCTGCCCGGGCTGGGCAGGTCCGCCGCCGCGATTGTTGCTGCCCGGCCCGGCCGGGACACTGAACGTGGCCCCTCAGCTGTTCACTGGACTGCGCCAGGGCTTAAAATAGCCTCCCAGTTCAGCTGGGGTTGGGGCGCTGGGGGTCGGGGGGGCAGGCTGGCTCGGCCACTGCCAGAGGTGTGGACGCTGCTGCTCCCTCGGCGGTTCTGGGAGCTTGGGCACCCTGTGCCGATCCCGCTTCTCACTTCTGAGTGGATGGAGGGGGCACAGCAGGCCTGGCTGTCACCTCATGGTTGACACCCCCGGGAAATTAAGACATGCGTGAATAATTGTTGAAAGCATCCTTACTGCCTGCTGTGTTCTGCTCCTGGACACCCTTGTCCATCCCGCCTGTCCACAGTCTCTAAGTCCTTCTGCCCACCCCCGACCCCCTCAGATTCCCTGCTTGTGGTGTGATTCAGCCAATGAGTGTTACTGACTCCTTATTGCTCTCTGCGAGAGCCTTGGTTTGAGGGCCAGGCCAGCTCCCCACTGCATCCCAGTGAGTCCAGGGCACACTCACAGCCGAAATACCTGATTTGGAGGCAGCGGGAGTGGAGGTACAAGCCCTGGGGCAGCTCTAGCTGTTTTTTTTTTTTTTTTTAAGATTTTTATTTATTTTGCTGGGGTACAGGCCAGAGGTGGAGTGTGAGAGGGTTCACCACAGAGCATGGGAAACACAACAGGCAGGTGTGCGGAAACTCACTGCTGAGGGAGCAGCGGGGAGACAGGAGGGGTCTGCTGTGCCCGAGGGTCAGTCCCTGGCTGGGGGTAGACTCAGGCCGCAGGGGTGGTGGTGCTGAGACATAATCCCTAGGCCACCAGGAAGGCCCTTCAGCTGGGCTTTGAAGGCTGAGGAGGAGCTGGTTGTGCCGGGCGTGGGGTGTGCCCAGGCCTGGGTGATTCTGGGAGTGTGGGTAGGTGGAGGGGCTGCAGTGCAAGATGAGGGCATTTGGGGCAGCTCTCTAAAAGACAGTGGCCTGGGCCTCCTCCCCGCAAAAGCCCCTCGTGACCACTGAGGACTGTGGAGAGGACCTGGGGTCTGGAGTCCAGCGCCTCCATCCCAACAGAGAAAGTCCGTTCGGTCAGCCTGGAGGCGGCGGCACTGAGCAGTGGAGGCGAAATGTCCCTGGACACAGCCTCGCCTCGGAGTGCGGGGGGCTGGAAGTTCGAGCCCCAGCTTTGACCCCGTGGGCTGTAGGCTTTGAACGCCTTCCTTAATCTCCCCAGGGCAGCCCTTTCATCTGAGGGAAGAGGCGGGGCGGCCTCACCTGGGGCTCCATCTCTGCTGGGGGCAGGCAGAGAGCGGCCTCCAGGGTAATCCGGACTCTGAGTGACTGTCGCTTTGATCAGAACCGTGTCCACCGCCTGGAAGGCATGTGGCTTCCCCTCCCAGGATTGTGGGGTTCTGGCTTGCCAGGGAACATGGCCACCTCCTGGATGCTCCCAGTTGTCAGAACCCAGTACGCTCTGCTGCCTACCAGGAGGAATGGACATGACCCCCACGTGCATGTTTGTAACCAGGGAAGCACTCGGGGGACACTCAGCCCCCCAGTCATGCTGAGGGGAGTCTGGAAGGTCTTGGGGAAAGCAGCCACAAAGCTCCTTAGTGAGGGGCAGCAGTGATGAGGTGCATGAATTGAACCCCCATGTTGTGGGGAGGATAGGAATGGGGGTCCACCTGGGCCCCCCAACCCCCACAGGTACAGCCATCTCAGGCCACACCCTGCTTGGGCCTGCAACACTTAACCTCAGGGGCTCACAGTTGTCTGTGACTCCTGTGACGGAGACTCCCTTTTTCCAGGAATCCGCTGAGAACTGTCTCCTCTCCAGGGCGTGGGTATAAAATGTTCAGACAGGAGCTGTGTGTGAATCAAGGCTCGTGCAATTAGCCGCACGCCCAGCACCCTCAGTGGAAGGTGGGGCAGCTTAGACTCAGCCCTTGAACCCCTTGGGGGGCTCCCAGTCCCGCCCTTCCTGGTTAAGGAATCAGAGCTCCATGAGGCCTACGTGTCTGGCCGGGCATCCTCACACCGCAGCCGGCCCCAAGGAGACACCGGGGAGTGTCTTCGTGTATTTTTTTCTTTTAGGAGAGGAAGACCTCTCGGCCAGCCTGCTGGAGCAGGTGCTGGCCCGTGGAGGTGACACCTCCCTGGACACAGCCTGGTCACGGGCGCCTTCGTCCTGGTCCAGATGCCTGGCGGGGATCAGGTCGTGGGCTCTTTTCATGAACCACAGCCTTTATGTCATGATTCTCGTGCGTGTGTTTGCTGACCAGGAGCTGAGAGAGGACAACATCATCTTAATTGAAACCAAGGCCATGCTGGAGGAGCAGCTGACCGCGGCCCGGGCCCGGGGGGATAAAGTCCACGAGCTGGAGAAGGAGAACCTGCAGCTGAAGTCGAAGCTTCACGACCTGGAACTGGTATTGCAAGTTTTTGTCATCTCATTGAAACCAGATGGGAGCAGTTTGGGGTTCGTGCCATGTTGGGTTGCGGGCTGCCCCCAGGCAACTGCCTGGAGTACAGCCTGCGCACTCTGGGCCCGCGGCGCCGCCTGAACGCCTGTGAGCCAGAGTTTGGCACCGTGCTGCTCCCCAGGAGGCGCCTGCGTCGCAGGCAGGGGCCCACGGGCGTGGTTCGGGGGCTCAGCCGGGGTGCCTGTTTGAGCCTCCCGTGGTGTCCGAGGCGTGCCAGGCCTGCTGGAGCCGGGAGGTTCCCGTCACGTAGCGCCGCCTGATAGCGGTGTGTCGCTTTGTTCAGACAGCAGATCGGAGACCACAGTCTCCGTGTCACCTCGCTGGCAGGTCAGGGCCCTGCCATGATTGATGTGCACAGCTGTGCTCATGGGACGTGAGCAGGTGCATGAACCTCTTTGTCCATGGGAAGCGAGGGTGAAGCAGTGACGGCACAGAGGGTTGTTCCCCCCACCCCCACGCCTGTCCTCACCCCGTTCCTCTTCGGGCACTAGGACCGGGACACAGATAAGAAGCGAATTGAGGAGCTGCTGGAGGAAAACATGGTCCTGGAGATCGCACAGAAGCAGAGCATGAACGAGTCGGCGCACCTGGGCTGGGAGCTGGAGCAGCTGTCCAAGAATGCAGAGCTATCGGACGGTAGGTGCCTGCTCCCTCCCCGCTCGGGAGCCGGACCCATCTCATCACCCCAGTGAAGAGGATTTCCTTCCAGTGACACTTGATTCTCCCCAAGGAGAACAGGAGGCGGGTGGCGGTTTCCATGGCAGGATGTGAAATACAGAATCAGCGTTACCCATCTCCCCATCTCTCCATTGCAGCCAGAACAGCCCCTGGGGCTTCCAGTTGACAGGCGGGAGGCCAGGACGCCCTGGCTGTGCCCCGCCCCCACCTCCCCCCACTGCACCCAGGCGGGAGCTCCCCGCCTTTGCATAATAGGACAAGATGGAGGCTCCGTCTCACTGGGTAGTGGCTGCCGAATCGCTGCTCCCAGGGGACCCAGTTCTCTTCCTCTCCCTCCTGTGGCTGTGCCCAGCCCCCAGGGAGGAGGGTGGGGGGGGAGGAGGGTGTGGCTGGGGAGGAGGGTGCAACCGGGGGCAGCTCCGGCTGCAGGAAGCCTCCCCGCAGGCAGACAATAGCCAGTTCCTGCGCTGGAAATAGCCACATGCACCTGGTGAGGCCGTTGCCCGTTGTCCCTTTCACCGAGAGTCTCGCAGCCCAGTGGGGCTTGACTTTGCAGCTCACATGACCGTCCTGAGATAGAGAAAGGTCTTTGGAAGCAGCTACAGATCTCTCCCAGGGAGAGTCAAACCTAAAGTCAGCTCATGGACCTCCCCATCTGTGTGAGAAGTCGGTCTTCAGTCTTCTCTGTGCTTGTTCGGTGCCTGGACACGGTGCTGGGACCACAGGGCTCCCGGCTCAGGGCGTGAGGCTCCAGTGGGGAGGACGGCTGCCCCCTGGCGGAGCAGGGAAGGGCTGCAGGCTGCTGGGGACACCGGGCAGCTGGCGCGGGCGGGAAGCATCCGGCTTAAACTACTGGGTATGGTTTATGAGCCCTCCAGCTCGGTGACCCCGACTGGAGCCTGGTGACGGACCCAGCTCCTCACGCTGGCTGGGCAGCTGGTGAAGGCTGGTGTGAAGCATTGGTGTTAATGTGAGCAAAAGCCTGCCTGTCCTTGGGCACAGACTGGGTAGTGGCTTCTTGAGCCAGAAAGACCTGACTTTACGATCCCGGCTCCTCTTTGGGCTACGAAGTGGACTCTCTCACTTATTTCTCTCCAGCGGTCACAGGAGTGATTGCGTTTGTTACACATGGTGACTGTATGGTGTAACACAGTATCTGGTGAATGTGTGTTAAATCACCACCGCAAGCCCAGATCAGAACTAGACAACCATTCTGAGCTTTGAGAGGTCAGGGAGAAATGAGCTGGGTTCTGCGGCTGGGACTAGGTGACCTCCTTTCAACCCCAGTTTCTTCTCCAAAGAGGGTGGTGACAATGCCCGTGAATGTCCGGTGGGAGAGGCAGGGAAGCCCTTCAGGTCACGCCCATTTCCAGCCTGATGGCGTGCTGTGAAAACACCCACTGAGCCCCCAGCCCCTGAGTGATGAGTAGGAAGCAGTGGGGTGCAGCCTTTAAGCAGCACTGTGTGATGGGACCCCCAGAGCCAAGTTCATGGCTCTGGGGCCTGTGGGGCAGGTGTGGGTCACAGCCGCCCCAGCCCTTTCCTTCAGGGACTTGCATGTGTGTTCTCCCACCGGGGCCCATGACTCGGCCCAGACCTCACACCAGGTGGGCTGAGCACCGGTCCCATGCAGGTCTGGGCACCGCACTCCATTTGCACTCCAGCTGTTCGGAGCAGATAGTCTGCCTTCTTCCATCTTTACCTTGTATTTCCAGCTTGCTCAGAATTTTTTTTTAGATTTATTTATGCACACAGAACTGGGGTACAGGCCAGAGGTGCAGGGGCAGTGAGAGGCTTCACCAGAGACAGTGGGGAGCAGAACAGGCAGGTTAATGAAGTACACCTCTGAGGGGAGCAGGGGCGGGTCGGGAGAGGTCTGCCGCGCCACGTGGGTCACCTCTGGGGTGGGCATCAGACGCTTACTGAAGCAGCTGCGGCCAGCTCCCAGTGCTGCGCTTTAACCCGTTGCGCCACCAGGGAGGGCCCTTGCTCAGAATTTTGAAAGCCAGTTACGTACGTACTATCTCATTTTTAAAATGTAATTGTGAAAGTGCAGCGTGACATCTAAGCACCTTAGGGTGCTGATGGCAGGTGCTCAGGTGTGCACCACCTAGCCTCCTTTCACGGTGCCTCTCCTGAGGAGCCACCCCCGCCCTCTGCTCAGGCACGAAACACGGCCCGCTCGCTCCGTGGGTCTCTCAGCCCTTTGAGCTGTGCTGCAGTGAGCCCGGTGAGCCCAGGGCGCCCGGCCGTCACACGCCGCCCTCAGTGACCGTCCGGCACCGCGTGAGGTGGGAGGGGGCAGCGGCTGGACGCAGAGGCGCCCGGGCCGGGTCTCACCAGCCGCCGTGCTTCAGCCTCCAGGAAGTCGTTTGTGTTCGAGCTGAACGAGTGCGCTTCCAGCCGCGTCATCAAGCTGGAGAAGGAGAACCAGAGCCTGCAGAGCGCCATCCAGGGGCTGCGGGACACGTCCCTGGCGCTGGAGGAGAGCAGCCTCAGGTGCGGGGAGCTGGAGAAGGAGAACCAGCAGCTCAGCAAGAAGGTAACCCTGCTAGGGGCAGGTGGCAGTGGGTGGCGGGGAGCACTGGGGTGCAGGAGCACACAGAGCACCCCAGATGGCGGCGTAGTTGCAGGCCACCGCTCCCCATCCCTGGGAGGAGCCTCCCTGCACCACCGTCTTTGGGGTGGCTAACTGGGGTTCATGAGAAGCCAGTCGGTGTTGAGGGTTTTTTTTTTTTTTT